AGCCTTCATCGACGTCGCTAGGCGGATAGCGGTTGACAATGGGCACCATGTAATGCGATGGGTTAAACGTACTGCAAATACGTGACAATTTACAACGTAAACGCCCGCGACATCATAATCTACCTGCAAACCACTACGTCCCAGGATTTCCATGTCCCGAACTGTTATTTCAGCATCCACTTACGAAGGACATCTTATTGGCTATAGTAGTATAGTTCTACTGTTCTCCAGTAGTTAAGTTCATAAAAATATAGGTATTTTCGCATAGTAACTTTAGTTCAGCCCAGGCCGACTGTCCAATAGTTAACTATCGGTAGCCTGCAGGTGACGTCATAGACAGCAGTGCTACGCTGGATAAAGGTACGGCGAGGTAGTGTAAGAGGTGGTTACCTCGACAACTTGTTGTCATCTTTTTGTTGGTTGGTGCACCTGTTGGTGCATAGCATTCTGGCATGGTAGGCATCATGAAGCTTCGCTTGGTTGGAAGGGTTCGCGCTATGATTATGAAATGGGTGTTGTGTGTTTTTTGACGTTGGCTTTCTTATAGAAGTGAGCCCAACACTTCTAAATATCACTGGAACTTACTGGGTAGGTGCAGGCCGTCTCATCTTTCAATTTCACAGACATCTTATCTCGAGCATGGAGTCTCATAAGTGACAGTACAATAGCAAGTTATATATTGTACCGTTCTTATCTACAATGTTATTTTCCCCTCGGGCAATCTTATCCGGATGGAAGTTTGTCGAGACACTTCATAAGCCTGGGAACAGAATGCCGTGCACAGAACGACAGATATTTCAATCGGTGGAATTGTTCCTACAAACCAACTCTGTGACGGCAAAACTCAGTGACTGTACCGTCCGAAGATCCAAGTGAGGTATCCTGCACATTGGACCTGCATATTGCACAACATTCAAAGGCTCCGAGAAAACTATACCGTCGACGATCTGCAACGAGTGAGAAAGGTAAAAACCCGTCCACCAGAATAAAATGCTGAGCCGGTGAAATTCCGCAGCCGAGAGCTCCATGAAGCACAGTCGTCTGTGTTCGCAAGAGCTCGAACACCCACCTGTCAACGCCCAGAGTATTCCACCACAAAATTTGAAATCCTACCCGTGCAAAGAGGGTAAGGACATTTTCTGTCTGACACCGATAGGGAAATGACGGCCCGAATGTGTCGGTAGTAATCGGCCGGTGATAGGGAAGTGACGACCCGAATGTGCCGGTGGTAATCAGGCAGTGATAGGGAAGTGACGACCCGAATGTGCCGGTGGTAATCAGGCGGTGATAGGGAAGTGACGACCCGAATGTGCCGGTGGTAATCAGGTGGTGAATCCAGATTAAGTCTGCAATGGACCAAGCTGCATTTTTAGTTTAGTTTTGGACAAGGTGCCTCTCTACCCCAGTGATACTGTGAACTGGCAATCACCTCTGAAGAAGCAAATGCCCCGAACTCATGTCGCCCAGATGCCTTGCTGAGAGCAAAATGGACTGCTTGGGTTTCCATGACTTCACCTGACAACTGGACCCTTTCGGTTCCAGACCGTCGACGGAAAGGTGTCCAAATTAAGTCAGGACACTCTGCACTCTGCACTCTGCACTATGGTGACACTGCAAGCCAGTCACCATTCGTCGAAACCGACGTGTTAACTTCAATAGACAATGGTACCAGCAAGATGAAGCCACGTCTCCTACTACCAACAATAACATTAGGGGCACTGATGCGGCCCCACAAGCTGCTTCGATGCTCTGAGCTCACTGGCATTAGGGGCACTGACGCGGACCTACAAGCTGTTCTGATGCTCTGAGCTCACTGGCATTAAGGGCACTGACGCAACAAGCTGTTCTGACGCTCTGAGCTCACTGGCATTAAGGGAACTGACGCGGACCTACAAGCTGTTCTGATGCTCTGAGCTCTCTGGAATTAGGGGCACTGACGCGGACCTACAAGCTGTTCCGATGCTCTGAGCTCTCTGGCATTAGGGGCACTGACGCGGACCTACAAGCTGTTCTGATGCTCTGAGCTCACTGGCATTAAGGGCACTGACGCAACAAGCTGTTCTGATGCTCTGAGCTCACTGGCATTAAGGGCACTGACGCAACAAGCTGTTCTGATGCTCTGAGCTCACTGGCATTAAGGGCACTGACGCAACAAGCTGTTCTGATGCTCTGAGCTCTCTGGCATTAAGGGAACTGACGCGGACCTACAAGCTGTTCTGATGCTCTGAGCTCTCTGGAATTAGGGGCACTGACGCGGACCTACAAGCTGTTCCGATGCTCTGAGCTCTCTGGAATTAGGGACACTGACGCGGAGCTACAAGCTGCTCTGATGCTCTGAGCTCTCTGGCATTAGGGGCACTGACGCGGACCTACAAGCTGTTCCGATGCTCTGAGCTCTCTGGCATTAGGGGCGCTGACAAGGACCTACAAGCTGTTCCGATGCTCTGAGCTCTCTGGAATTAGGGACACTGACGCGGAGCTACAAGCTGCTCTGATGCTCTGAGCTCTCTGGCATTAGGGGCACTGGCGCGGACCTACAAGCTGTTCCGATGCTCTGAGCTCTCTGGCATTAGGGGCGCTGACAAGGACCTACAAGCTGTTCCGATGCTCTGAGCTCACTGGCATTAAGGGCACTGACGCGGACCTACAAGCCGTTCTGATGCTCTGAGCTCTCTGGTATTAGGGGCACTGACGCGGACCTACAAGCTGCTCCGATGCTCTGAGCTCTCTGGAATTAGGGGCACTGGCGCAGACCCACAAGCTGTTCTGATATCCTGTAAGCTCTCTGGCATTAGGGGAACTTTTTATGTAGCTAAGTCATGCATATTACAGGAGCCCGCCACCGGGGGCAGCCCGTCGCCTTCTGGTTTACGATGTTGTTGTGAATGCTGTGCACCATTAGTGTGCGCTCGTAGCTGGCCTGTTGTGGACTTGGATCGATGCGAAATGTCCTGGGTGCACTGACGTCACCAAATCTAGAAACTTTCGGGCACCTTGCAGGTTCAGGTCACGAAACGGCTCTTAGGTCCAAGGACACAGCGCCCCTCTGAGGGTGATGCTGTTGTGTTGTTGGGTCTACCGAGTGTTCCAGATGGCGATTTGCTACAGGATACAAGCCAGCTGATAAGCTGACTTCAGTAATTGATGGCATTTGCGCTGTATTCGGTTGGCTAGAGCCTGGTATTGGGCAGTGACGTGTCTCTGAGACGCCACGCCCTGGCTTCGCCTGTTCACACTTAAGTCGGGTCGAGTGAACAAGCAACTTACGCATTATGAGCGCTTGAGCAAATTTAATTCCTTTCAAACCCAGCCCTAATTGACACGACCTTGCGGCGTGTCGAGCCCCTAGGGAGATCTGGGGCACGCATAACCGCCACAGGTAGGTTAAGGTCCGATGAGTCACAGTATTCCTGCTTGTGGATTAGAACTTCTCGCGGTACAGTTGCTGATCACAGCTCGCAGTGATGTAGTCTGTGAACAACTGGATCCGGCAAAAGTTCTTGGAAAGATGTATTGTGCACATGAAGGACAACAAAGACCTAAGCGTTGGCGCTCCATGGTGCCTGCAAGGTGTCTTCCTTCCTACCTTTTTATATCAGTTTGTCCGTGCTACGGGGTAGCTGTGAATGCGCGATTGCAATGAAACGACAAAAAGTAAACTTATTATTCGTGTATCTATATTTTTCGCAAGGAAGAAAATAGTGCATGAGCCGAATAACGAACTGGTAACTGTACTGCAATATTTTAAGAGCCATCTGAACCGGACAAAGACATCGTGGTGACAACAGCTTTCTTCCTGTTCGTCGTACTGTGGCATGCTTCATGGACATGCAACGGCTGCCGTGCGTATTGATTTATTCAATAGTTCAGTTCACGTACCACTCACGTAATAAGTCTGACTTGCATACATGATATACAATGAGCAGTGCTTGACATTGATGCTCGAGACATTCATGTGACTTTGATGAGAGCTTTGACATTGTATGCAGTGAATAACGTTTTCATCTCCATTATGTGTGCCTTACGTATAAACGATTGGTTGAAAAACTCTGCATGAGGGCTTCGATCATCTTATTTCCTGGCTCTCTATTTATCCTAATTTCTTTACCGATCAAAATAGAGCATTCCGTCCCAAAAGACTATCGTTAAATGGATAAAATAGAGCATTCGATTTCATTCTGAATTGTGAACAACCGGAAAACAAAACAGAAGCGCTTTCTTAAACAAAACAAAAAACGACGTCAACAATCACAGGTCGATCCAGGCTGATGCCCGCTACAGCCCGTCCCCGCACATTCGGCTTCCTGAAGAGCCGCGCCGAAGGCCGCTGCTATGGGTTCCCACAGTCCCATACCATTGGGTTTGCTCAATCGACCGTCCAGTCCACGCGGCGACGGGCGGACGAACGGGCATGACAAGTCGCCCACGCTCCGCGCTGCCACGGCGCAATGGAGCCAACGGGCGCCGTCTGGCGACAGCTGGGTCTGTTTGCGTCATTAAAGGCAGCGGCCGAGTCACACGATCTTTCTGCGATTTGCGTCATCGTTGGGCAGCGAGCCATGCGAATTATCTGCACAGACGCGAACTTACTGCAGGCCTGTACAGGCTGCCACACCGGCTCCGCATCGATCGGCGCTAACAGTATCAAAGTTCTATTTATAACTTCTAGGCAACCGACTCATGAGCGCCCGAGCTCCCACCGAACAGTTCTGCTGCTGTTGGGCCATCTTTTCAACCCTGTAATGGTCTGGCTAACCGGCATAAATGCACATGTTCGAGGCGCATGTTCGAGGCGCATGTTCGAGGCGCATGTTCGAGGCGCATGTTCGAGGCGCATGTGCGGTTATGTCCGAGTGAGTAGCTTTGCCATCACAGCCTGGCCATGCCAAATCTAAGATCAGCCTATGAGGTGGGTTAGATATCATTAGCTGGGTGGGCATGGTCTGCATATGCCGATGACAACATTCATCCACAGCCGCTGTTTTCAAACGCCGATTCTGATAGGCTTCTGCCGATCAGCCGCTTCCTCACGGCACCATCGGCGCCAAATCCGCAAAACCCCTCTGACGACGTCAACCACTTGATCAAATTTCGCACCTCTCCCCACGCCCCCATCATTCCAGCAACGCCGCGGTAGCCTTAGTCGCCGCCATCTCCACCGTCTCCTCCGTCGTCTCCTCCGGTGTCGCCGCCGCCCATACCGACGGCGGCCGCCGCGCTCCCCGTCAAGTCGCCGGCTGCGTCTTGGGCCGAGTTTACAGCATTCCCGGCTGCGTCTTGGGCCGAGTTTACAGCATTCCCGGCTGCGTCTTTGGCCGAGTTCATGGCATCTCCAGCCGTGTCTTTAGCCGAGTTCATGGCATCTCCAGCCGCGTCTTTAGCCGAATTCATGGCATCTCCAGCCGCGTCTTTAGCCGAGTCCAGGGCACCCCCAGCCGCGTTTTTAGCCGAGTTTACAGCGTCCCCAGCCGCGTCTTTAGCCGAATTTACCGCATCCCCAGCCGCGTTCTTGGCAGAGTCCATAGCATTGCCAGCCGCATCTTTGGCTGAGTCCATGGCATTGCCAGCCGCGCCTTTGGCTTGTCCCATGGCGTCACTAGCTCCTGCTCTGATGCCACCGAAGGCTCCGCTGGCGGCCTCCGAGCCGTTCTGCTTCAGTTTATCCAGCTGGGGCAGCGGCTGACCCAGCAGACCCCCACCGCCGCCCGAGAACGGGTTGGACGGGATGAGCTCGGCGGCCGGGTTGACCCCGCCTGCGGGAAAACAGAGTGTCAGGACACCTTTGTCACGGCAGCGGGGGAGTGTCAGTGTGTCCGCGCCATGTGAAGGTGTCAGGACACCTTTTTCACGGCAGCGAAAGGTCAGTGTGTCCATGCCACATGGTGAAGGTGTCAGGACACCTTTGTCACGGCAGCAGGGGGGGGGGGAGTGTCAGTGTGTCCGTGCGACATGGTGCGGGTGTCAGGACACCTTTGTCACGGCAGCGGGAGGTCAGTGTGCCCGTGCCACATGGTGCGGGTGTCAGGACATCTTTGTCACGGCGGCGGGAGGTCAGTGTGTCCGTGCCACATGGTGCGGGTGTCAGGACACCTTTGTCACAGCGGCGGGAGGTCAGTGTGTCCGTGCCACATGGTGCGGGTGTCAGGGCACCTCTGGGCCCGAAGAGGTGAGGTCACGTCAGTGGCATGTTCCCAAACCACTCTCTTATACTTCGCTACCACTGGCTTCAGATTGAGTGCATCGTTTTCTGAATCTCACAGAAGTCCTAAATGAATCGGCTTTTGCTC